GGGGGGGGGGGGGGGGGGGGGGGGTACAATAGTGGAAACTACTGAAGAGCAATATCTGCCAGGAAAATGTCCTAGCTTCATGTTGTGCAAGATGCTCAGCTTTAACACATTGTAGGTCAGTCCTAGGGTAGCAAATAGGGTGACAGGCACCCAGCAATTCCTCCTTTAGACTTGTTACTGGAATGTTGTTACTACGAATACCTTTCTTTCTGCTGCAGCTCTTCGCGTAGAGTGGCAAATTTTGTCCATTTGAAATTTACCATGATATCACTGCGGTTAGAAATAGTGATGGTCCTGAAAAGAGCATTAAAGGATGTAAATTTAAGTACTTGTTTTTCCCCAGTAACTTTTAAGGCGGCTCTAACTGGGTTCGTGCTGAGGTAACCACTTGAAATTCAAGGACTATTCAAGGAGTAAACAAGGACCCAAAAATGAATTTGCAAGGAGTATGTTCAGCTAAATATGCCAAGGTTTTACACTGTGGTTGCACATGGCCGACTTTCAGATTTTCCAATCTTTCTGACTAGATCTATTTCAGAACCATGCATGTAATGATCAAAGCAAGTTTTCAAGGAGTTTCGCTAAAATCATAAAATTCAAGAGCTTTACAAGTGCCCTTGAAAACGTGAATTAAATTCAAGGAGTTTCCAAGGAGTTTAAGGAGTTGCACGAACCCTGTCTTAATATATCGCTTTTAATAACAGCAACATAAAAATTTCAATCAAAATTACATGACTGGAGTAAGCAGTACTACCAACAGTCATTATAATTACCTTTGTGATGCACTGGTTATGAAAGTATTTTCCATCTTCAGGGCATTTTTGTCCAACCTGATGTTATAGTCAATAGCAGCACCGTACAATGCAATGTATATATCTTCACCTAAGAAAGAGGTTACAGGTTTAAGACAATCATAAAATACCAAAGGTAAATATCAGAGTTACACTCTTGCCTTCAAACAATTGTTTTATGTCAAGGCATTTGGGTCAATACAATATAATGTATAGAAACTGACCCAAATGCAATGATCCTTTGAAGTCATTGATATAGTGTTACTCTGATATTTGCTATTGCTTGTTTTCTTCTCTTTTTTCTGATGTTAAACTTTCAGAACATCCTCCTGTCAATAGGTCCTTTGCAGTTAACATTCACGTGTCTGTACTGGTGAGCAAAATTTTTTATTTTATTTTAAATTGGTAATTCTTTTTACCTACTTGTAAAGAACTGAATGAAACGATGTGTAACCAATGTGTCACGAAATGCAGTTTTATTACGATCTCTCGAAACAGGTTGTAGAAAGTTTGTTTATTTGCTCACCAGTATATTTCACCAGTGGGAATCAAGATGTTCATTCATTTGCTCTCAGTGAATTAATCAGCACATGATTACATGATTAAGGGCCTATTGGTAGAAAAAAATGGGAGAAAAGCACATGGAAAAAAGAAATCCCATTTCTGGGGCTATTATTGCAAGTGGTCAGTATTTATGACCTCAAGTAGTTACCAGTGTCATAATGCAGGATCATATAGTTATATTTATAGTTATATATTATAGTTATATTATATAACCCTTATATTATATTATATTATATTATATTATATTATATTATATTATTATATTATAGTTATATTATAGTTATAGTTATATAGTTATATTATAGTTATATTTTATAATTATAGTGTCATGATGCAGGATCATGTTGCTGGCGTGGTCCCCTCCCTGTCTTCCGCGGATTAAAGTCTACATGGTAATTATTGCAAGCATACCGTATTTTATAATTATAGTTACCAGTGTCATAATGCAGGATCATGTTGCTGGTGTGGTCCCCTGTCTTCCGTGGATTAAAGTCTACATGCACTTGTAGACTCTCTCCAATAGCTAGACGTCCACTATCTGGTGTCACACTGAATGGCTCCTCTAATGACAGCTGGAATCTGGCTTCTTTGTTGCCGATATTTCTGACAAGTAAGGTCTTGGTAGTAGGATTCTCGTAAGAAAAAACAACATCCCAAAATCATTATGATACCAAATGTTTATGAGAAATATTATCAAGGGTGGAGTAGCAGTAGAACACTCCCCTCTCATCTCTGGGGAATTAGGTTTGATTCCCAGACTCAGCATCACAGTGAGTAGAGTATGCAAAGTCTCTTTATTGATTCAAGGTTTTTTTTTTCAGGATCTCTGGTTTTCCTCCCTCCATAAATTCCAATTCGACCTGTAAATTATATTAGCAGCACCTTGATTTTGATCAGTCCTGAGGTTGTTTCAGGGTGTTGATGACATTTGAAAGTTTTTTTTAAATTAGGGTATATTTCTTAGCATAATAGACCTCTTTGTATGCATGCACGTTTTCATTTTCATGCATGCAAGCCTGAATTTGGCATGCCAATATATGTGCATATCTTTTTAAACATGACACATACATTTCAAATTAAATGCCTGTTGTTAATGCATACATGCAAATTTTCACTTCCCTCAACGAAGCAATCTATTTGAAAAGCATACACATGCATGCCCTTGGGTACATGACTGTTTGATGTATGCTGTTTGATGCCTTAATTTGAAATGCAAATATATATGTGTATACCTTTTTTTATATGTCACATACATTTCAAATGTATGCATACAAATACATTCAAGCAAGCCATTTAGAATAAAATAGAAGAGAATAGAATAGAATAGAATAGAATAGAATAGAATAGAATAGAATNNNNTTTGTGCCCTCTGATTTGCAAATTAATTATTAAATATTTTGAAGATTACAATAAAAATTTGACGAACCATTTGCTACCTAAAAATAGCAATGCTAATCGAGTTAGGTAGCAAATTGGTCATTTGGTACTGTTTGATAATTGTTACRAGAATAAGTATAGAAATAGGAAAATCCAAAAACAAATGTAATTAGATTGGAGTAAAATAATAAAATAATAATAACAAAGAAAGAGAAAACCATAAAAAAAACCATAAACCATTTGAAAGCCATTCATATGGACTTCTAGTCTATTCAGAACATGACTGTTTAATTCATACTACAATACAAATAACAGCTGCAATACATGCATGATTGCAGAGTTTGCAAAACATTGCAATACCTTGACAGGTGCTGTACCAAAGTTTATTTCATCTGGGAAATCAAGAATGGCTCTTGCACCAATAGCTTTTACTGGGACAAGGAACTTTTCTCTTTCTGTGATGCAGATCAGTTCATGAGTATAGTCCTGGTGGAAGTAAAAACAAAAAAATTACAATGTACTTCATTATACTATAATTGCAAAAAGTAAAGAAATTCTTCAAAAAAATAAGAACAATTTCATTTTTTTCTCAAACTTGTTACTGGTAGCTGGTAGCAAAAGTTTGACCGCATTAACATACATCTTTTTATGCACAGGTTATTGTATGTTAGATGGACAACTTTTGATGTGAAGCTGGCTGGTTTGACCAAATAAGGCATGTAAAAGCTTGTTTGTAAGCAAAGACCCTGTTCATAAAAGTATGCGATTGCATTAAAGGTGCTCATACGTTTGCAGGAGTTTTACAAAAAATGGGGATTGGATAGTGTCGTAGAGTATGTAACCTGAACCTTTCAAAAACAATATATCACAAATATTTATAGCAGATAAGGTTTTGCAAGCACAACAAGGGAGGAAAACGGAGTTAACAATAACAGACAGACAGGCAAACAGGAAGGGAAGCACAGCAAGGACAAATTTAAGTGAGAAATTTAAAGACTGAGAAGGACAGACAGACAGACATACAGTCTGACAGACAGACATACAGTCCGACAGACAGTCTGACAGACATACAGTCCGACAGACAGACAGTCTGACAGACAGACAGTCTGACAGACAGACAGTCTGACAGACAGACAGACAGTCTGACAGACAGACATACAGTCTGACAGACAGACATACAGTCCGACAGACAGACAGTCAGACAGACAGACAGTCTGACAAACAGACACAAAGTCTGACAGACAGTCTGACAGACAGACATACAGTCCGACAGACAGACATACAGTCCGACAGACAGACAAACAGTTCGACAAACATACAGTCCGACAGACAGACATACAGTCCAACAGACAGACAGTCTGACAGACAGACAGACAGTCTGACAGACAGACAGACAAGTAAATGGCCATACCTTTTTTTCATCTGGAGTGAACTGAATGATAAATGTAGTGTCCATACCAGGAGCCACCTTATGCCCTACATCTAGTGGACTAATTATCTTAAAGTATGGTGAATCTGTCTGGGTAACTTTGACCAGCCGAGCAATCTACAATCCAAACATTTAACTATTCAATCAAATTGCAAAATGATTTTTAAAAGAATATAATATAGAGGTGATACATCTGTGGAAAAAAGATATTGCTTGTTCAGGGGCTGTGGAGCACCCTGAAAAGTAGGGGGCTAAGATTGGAAAATATAAGAGACTGGTACCCCCAAGCCACTCCTGTTGTTTTCCAAAAATCTCTCCGAAAATTAATTTTGCAATCTCATAGGTTGCATGTGAGTGATCCCAAAATCACAAATAAGTAAAGTGTCACAAAAATGTCATGACATGATATAAAAGATAATAGCAAATACTTAAAATACAATAACAGTGTGGGCAAGCTAACTGTATTTAATAGCTACAAAGTTAGTGGTAATAATAGTTGTGTAATGATGATTTTGGCTATGTCAAAGACTGGACTATTCTATTTTATATTTTATATTAATTTTTCCGAATTTATTTCTAAGGGTCTTTCACCCGGAATAACGTCGTTCCCAAGCACTATAACTTGGGACCAAACATCTATTTCACCCCGGCCTGCTCTCAGTCTGACCTCTAGCTCAGCTGGTAGAGCATCGGTAGTAGAATTCCGAAGGTCATAGGCTCGATTCCCAGCGAGGTCGGAAATTAATTTTTCCGTAATTTATTTCCAAGGGTCTTTCACCGAGAAAAACCTTGTTCCCAAGCACTATGACTTATCTATATTTCTATATCTTGTATTTCATAAGTGCTACGCGGTCCACATATTCTCATATTTTATATTCTGATTACCTTATCATTATTCCTGAGCTGAAGAGGAACTTCCTGGATCTCAAAAGGTTCAAAATTCTGGAAAGTGATGTCTGATGGGAAAGGCTGGAACATAGGCTCCTCCACATCCATTGAAGTGAACTAGATGACAAATCAAACGATAATTATTAATACATTACAAGACAATAGCGAGACAGAGCCCATTTTTATGTTTCTGCAAAACATACTTTCTTCATTTTGGTTTCTGGCTTCTTTCATCATATCTATATAACGGTCTGAGTTTAATTGATGGAAGCCTAAATTTTGCATCAGAACATTCCTGAGTTAGCTGGAATATGGAATTATTTGTATAGAACTATTTAGCTGCAAGATATTACAATAATGTGTGTAATAATGTGATCAACAAAAATTTCAATTTTGATAGAATTGTGGGCAAAACTTTTTTGAAGCTAAAAACTACTGGCAAACCCATTTTACATCAGAACATTCCTGAGTTAGCTNAAAATTTCAATTTTGATAGAATTGTGGGCAAAACTTTTTTGAAGCTAAAAACTACTGGCAAACCCATTTTACATCAGAACATTCCTGAGTTAGCTGGAACATGGAATTATTTAGTTGCAAGATATTACAATAATGTGTGGAATAATGCAATCAACGAAAATTTCAATTTTGATAGAATTGTGGGCAAAACTTTTTTGNTTACAATAATGTGTGGAATAATGCAATCAACGAAAATTTCAATTTTGATAGAATTGTGGGCAAAACTTTTTTGAAGCTAAAAACTACTGGCAAACTCATTTTACATCAGAACATTCCTGAGTTAGCTGGAATATGGAATTATTTAGTTGCAAGATATTACAATAATGTGTGGAATAATGCGATCAATGAAAATTTCAATTTTGATAGAATTTTGGGCAAAACTTTTTTGAAGCTATAAAAACTACTGGCAAACTCATTTTACACCAGAACATTCCTGAGTTAGCTGGAATATGGAATTATTTAGCTGCAAGATATTACAATAATGTGTGGAATAATGCGATCAACGAAAACTTCAATTTTGATAGAATTTTGGGCAAAAATTATTTGAAGCTAAAAACTACTAAAAAACTCATTTTACCAAATATCTTACCTTTTGTAAAGTCTGCTCTGACATGTCAAGAAGCTCAATAATCTGTGGTACTCTCATTTCATAAGTTAGTCTCAGTCTCTCCTGAGTTGTCAACTGCATTTCAGCCATATAAGCAGATGGAGCTTGCTATTGAATAACAATATAGCACAGATATTAATAATAGATATTAACATTATTAATAAATACATTAGCCATGGGGTTTATTGGCTGGCTATCCACCCCATTTGTTCCCTGCTAGCAGAGCCTATTTTCCTTTTGTTGAGAGAGAAAAATAGACTCTGCCAATGTAGAACGTTATTTCTGTCGCGCCTGCATAACGTAACTTAGCAATGCTGTAATGATTTTGACAGCTGCTCTCGTCAAACAACGTTTGGTGCCAGGGTGTGTTACATTTGCTCATGCGCACTATATGTACCCGGTTAAAAACTGGTTTTAAAACTGGTTTTGTTTGTCCACGATCGTGGACAGCGGTGTATCAAAGGAAATGCTCTACATCGGCAGAGTCTCCTTCCTCCCTGCATGAAAGAAGGGAGAGAAAGAGAAGAGAGACTCTGCTAGCAGGGAACCCCCTTTGGAGTTTTAAACATAAGAATAAAGAGCAATGAAAAAATCTAAAGAGGAAGTTATATGCTGGCTTTGTTGCTGGTAACAGTCACCCCCATGTAATCATCCTGGGTCTGCCATAGGGTGAATCCCAAATTTATGGCCCATTTCAATGTACTTGCAAATATTATAAAAGCATTTTCCTGTTATGTGTAGAGATTTTGGCTTTACTGAGACAAGCCAGCAGTTGCAAACCGTTTGATTTTTAAGCAAACGATTCTGTTCACAACATTCTGCCATTGCACTAAAAATGGTCATACGGTAATGATTTGTGTACACTGTTGCATTTAAGTTATAAGCAATTACTCTAATAAGTGCAAGTGATAACATGTGCAAGGAAAAGTTTTAACTGCGTTTTTTAAATGCTCCCCAAAAACGTTTTGTACTTTTATATATCATTTATGGCTCAAACCTTAAAAACCATACAAAAAGCAATAGCTTAGTTTACATGTCTCACATGAAAGTAGCCAATCAATAACGAAGTAAACAGGCAATTAGAAACCCAAATACTATAATTTGGGCTCTAATTAGTTATAAATAATCCTTGGCTATTGGATCCGTGGCCACTAACTTTAGAAATGTTGGCTGACAGGAAGGTAATAAGTGATCAATCTATAAAATACTGATCAATGCAAGTTCTAATAACGTAAGCTTTTAGCTTGTATGAACCATTTAAGTTCTTTAAAAACGATTTTTCTCCACCGATCGCTATATACTGAATCCTATCCTTCACTTACCTTATCATCTTCGATGCTAGTTTTGACAAGTTTTGGGTTTCGAGGATGAGTAACTTTGCTTTTGAAAGAAGAAACCACAGCTGAGTTACCGTACGTCTTCCTGACAGTTGATTCAACCGCTCCTCGCAACTTTCCTGAAGAACGAGGCATCATGAAGCTTTTCTACAGTGCCTCGACTTTATATTTTCTTCGTTTTTGTATCGCTAAGGTTGCATTTTAGGCGCTATTTTGGCTCAAAAACTGTTACAGTTTGCAAAACAAATCCAGCGCCATTTTTAATTTTCACAAAGTTGTAGTTCCTCGTTACCATGGAAACTAGTGGACATGCGCAAGCGCATTCTATCATTACAAAGTCCGCTGAAAACCGCGTTTTTTCGATACTCTTTGGTTTTCTACAAACTGTTGAAATCAAGAGTTGTTTTTCTTATTTTGTTCAACATTATGCAAACGTACATTTTTCTAACATGAATGTCTTTTGCTCATCAATGTCCCGTGCAAAAATAAAGTCATCCTTATTCTATCCCTCGGCTCACTTCATTGCTCATTGCAAAACTGCGGTCTCTTTTTCCAAGGGTTGAAATCGGGTCAAAATAACCCAAATCTTCATTGTCACCTGACATCTTGCAGGGAGCGCAAAACCACACAGTTAGCTTATTTGACGAAGGGGTACAGAATAAGCTAGCGAGAAGGGCGGATGGGGAATTTATCCTCTCACGTTTTGCTAATATTCACTAAATTTTCAAGTCTCAGCCCCCCTCCCTATCACGCACACATTCAGATACCAGTCTACTATATTTTCGAATTTAATTAATTCATTAAACCTTTTTTTGCGGACACACAACACGCACTTTTGATTCCAAACGTTTCTCCGTGGTCCGTCAGTAAAAAGCCGGAAACGCCAAATTTAGTGTGACGCAAAAAAGTAATTAGAAAAATTCCCATTACCCCCCAAAAAAATTTCAAGAATACAATATCAAGATGTTTCACTTTAAGAAAATTAAATGCAATTAAATTGAACTAGTGACCGGAAATATCCGCTAGCCAAAAGGAATTTGAGCTATTTGTATTCTATTGTATATTATACTACATTTTATGAAATACTGAAACTGAAACTGAGCACGTCTTCTCACTCAAATCCGTGAACCTGTTTAAAAACTCTTGATAACGCTTTATATATTTATATTCTGTGGCGGATTTAGGTGGGTTTCATTGGGTGCAAAGGAACCCCCCCCCTTTCCTCCCGGCTGGTACTTTGGATTTTTTTATATATTTTAAATAAATAAATAAAAGTATGGTACTAACTCATGAGATTTAATATGAAATGGGACTGATGGATAGGTTATCCTTATAAGGAGCGCCCCTAGGCATGTGATGTGCCTCATGGGAAAAATGATGATGCAAGAGAACGTTATTATTATTATACCGAGATTTGCAAAAATGACCCCCCCCCCTCCCCCCTCTTAAAGTCCTGGATCCGCCACAGATATTTTTCCGTGCGGTTAGACATGAACGCAACATATTGTGCAATATTGCTGCAGAATGATTGTAGCTCGTGTGACCATGCCCGCAACATTTCTTTTCTATTTGTATGAAGTAGAAGCTGTCTATTATTTGAACAGAATATTTGTTGAGATCTAAAAGAATGTTTGTTGCACTGAGATCTAGAATAATGTTTGTTGTATGCAGGGTAATATTGTATACGAGAAACATTTTTCTTCCAATGTATCTTATTATGAAATATATTTAATGCCAAGTTATTTATTTTCAAAGAAATGTAACGGCGTTCATTCCCTTTCTGTCCATCTTTCACCAGTTTACCCTTCCTCCAATTTACTCTGTTTTACTTATTTTCCTTCTCGTTCTCATTTTCTCTTCTCCTTCTCCTGTTCTTTCTTTCAACTCATGTTTTCTTTTTCTTCTCGTTTTCTTCCCGTTCATATACTCCTCTGTCAATTTATACTTTTTTGTTATGATTCTTCCAATCACGTCTTCTGTTTCCAGTCTCTCTCGTTGCATATGCTTTAATCCTAATCTTCCCCTCTTTTTGAAGTTCCAAGATCTTCTCGACCATTGACTTGAGAAGAATATGCTCACCATCTAAAAATCATGGATATCTGTTCCGGGGGGGGGGGGGGGGGTACTCCCCTATATTCCTTATACGCGTAAGTGCCTCCAAACAGGGTATGGTTTTCAGTGATTCTACTCTGGAACAGGGTATATAAAATCGCGCTCGCTCTGGGACAGGGTATATGAAATCACGCCCTCTCCTCTCTGAAACAGGGTATTCATTTTCGCAATACCGGAACAGGGTATGATTTTCAGCGATCTTGCTCTGGAACAGGGTATGAATTTCAGCGATTTTTCTCCGACATCCCTACCCTAAACGGGCAAGAGTACCCCCACCCCCCCTCCCCCCCAATCCCCATCCTCCCCGGGATATCTGTCAAATTTGAATCGATAAACTTGGAAAACTGAATATTTCTTTTTTTCAATAGATGAGTTTTATTGACTGAAACTAGCGCGAACTAATATGCATATACATGAAATAGATATCTGGTGAATAAGTATCTCGATAAGAGAAGAGTAAGGCTCAATAATATACCATTTTCAATTAGTCTTCATCAGATCACCAGGATGTCGACTATACGACTGAATCAATCGCCATAATCCCCTAACATCATTCACGTAACAATTTAACACCATTTTAAATTCAGTGTGAAAATAATGGGATAATTCAATATGGATTTTAATAGATCCTAACACGGTTATCGAATTTCCTGTACACAGGCGATAAGCAGAGAACTTAGAAGGAATAGAGTTGAGAAAAAAAGGTGTGTGCTCAATTAAGATTCTATAAAAATAGATCCAAAGTGGCCTATATCACGTAGAATTATCTGGCTTCCGATATGCAATAATTGAAAAAGGAAAATTTAGCAATTCCTATTTTTAAGTTTCTCCGTTAGTCGGAAAAGAACATGACAGAAATGATCCTGTTTGGAATATGGGGATTGTGATTCGTATATGATTTTTTTCTTGTTCAAGTTTTCATTTGCTTTTTTCTTTGTTTAGTTTTCCTTTCTTCAACTTTTTTTTTTTTTTTCCTATTCTCTCTTTCCCTATTGTTTTATTTTTTCCCTTCTTTTTCTTTTTTCATTCTTTTTTTAACTAATTTCCTTAATTTTTCCCTTTTACTTTCTTTTCCTTTTTTCATCAATTCTTGTATGGGATTTTCGCATCAATCTTTTCATCTTCCGCGCGAAAGATCCAGAAATGCGATAGAAGATAGCCGCGCCTTTGCATCGAAGCGAGACGAACGGTGAGCTTGCAATGATAGAGACATGCGAATAATTGTCTAAGCTGCTAAAAAAGGTCTCTATCATTGCAATCTCACCGTTCGTCTCGCTTCGATGCAAAGGCACGGCTATCTTCCAAGATGGCGCAGGGAACCGTGAAGGGGACTATTAGAATGATGAGTATCGCTGTTGCTTGGTGCCAACTTTGTAAGACAAAAACGTATAACATGGACAAGTAAAATTACTCTGGTAAAAAGTTTTACAAAAGCTTTTTGTCAAGCTAGCTTTTTAGAACGTATCAAACTACTGATTTTATACCCTAAAACGTACGAGTCTTTTTCACATAAGAATTATATCAGACGATACCACTGCATTACTTTGTAAGTACTCCTCTCGCATGCTTTCAATCAAGAACCTGAAGACCAGCTGAAAAGGAAGACAATTAGTATAAAATCTTGGGGTATAGCTATTAAAAAAGCTACAATGAAAGCGCGTGGAAACGTGGAAGCCCCTGTGAGTGCATGTGTGTATAGGAGGAAGGGAGTGCGGGTGGGATAGAGGGAAAGAGGAAGGAAATCAAACCAAGGGGAAAGAAAGGGAGCGAGGGATTTCCAAGTAAAATAAATAACAAAATCAGCTAAAACCGTAGAAATTCTTGAAACATTTTTTCTAGTCGTCTCATTCTCATGTAATAGGTTGCTATCAATAGACGTCACTTCCGRTAAYAGCTCTTTTTTGATGGCTTGTAGAATCCTGGAGGTTGTTTTGATCTCTTGTTTTCTGGTTTGATGTCGTGAAAATAGTCAAACACAATAGTTTGAGGACTTATTTTGATGTTTTGATTTAACATCCGCTAGTTGCCCCCCAGTCAACCGCTTGTTTGCCCCCCAGTCAACTCCAAAAAGTCACGTGATTGATATTAAGCAATAAAGAAAATTACTTTGTTTAACGGCAGTTATCAAAGAAATAATATGTTTTGCTCAAGGGAATAAGATGTTATCTGAAATACGAAATAAGTGGATTGTCATTACTTTGGCCCGATTGTCCAGAGGAAAGAATGTAAAGAAATCTAAGATATGGTGAAAAATCCTATGGTGAAAAATAATGGACCAGTGGATTAGTGTACCGAGGAATAAGCCCTCATCACAAATATGCCTTCTTTAGATTTAATTCCAGGTTTGTATCGTCTAAGGGCACGGGCTACGTGTTGTTGCAGCGAAATGGCTTCCACGCTGGCTGGGAATTTCCCCCAAACGCGTTACTTGGATACGGGAACCATTTGAGAGTCAAGGCACGTTTCCCATCCAAACTGTGTAGCATGAAGAAAACCACTAAAGTTGCAAAAATAGCTTTGTCCTTTAATATCATTTTACAAGAGTTCGTACAAAAATAAAGACATATTTCAGTTCTTGCAAAAGTTACTATTAAGAGATATTACATTTTGAAGTTTTAGACAAGGTATAATATAACCAATGCTCCAAGACTTTATACATACAATGCGGTTTCAAACGCTAACCAAATTCATTTTGCTAAATTTTCGTACTGAATGACCTAAGGAGAGGAACCAAGTGCACTTGAATCCCTAAAAACCGAAGTTTTTATTTGTCTACACATTTGGTTTCTCGGCCCTAGGAGATATTTTTGAATTAGACAAAATTGAATCGCTAATGAATACAGATTTCATTTTCCAGCAAGCGCTTAACAAAATAGCGACTACTTAGCGACTAGATCACTTAGGCGCACTTCTAAGGCCGAGAAAAAATGACAAGCTTTAAATAAGCTTTTTTTTTTGGTCTACTCAAAACAGAAATTAATTCAACGAAGCATCGCAAAATAATATTAATATTAATAAATAAAATGATATAAAATTTGGATGCCTTTTGACACGAGAGCACTTGATCCAATCCTCATCGATCTCTAATGCAAAAGGCTAGTTATATACAAACCACTTTATCTATCAAATATCCACCGAAAAAAAATAATTATAGCTAGAACAAAAGCTATTGAGTTAATGTCAAGGTCGGATATAGTACGATAAGAAAGCTGCGCTTTAGAATTCAGTCAATTTAAGGAAATTCTCGTTTTTAGGTTCTTATTCTACAAACGAAATATTATCAAAGGAATTCAACCGTCAAAGTGGAGTAAACAGTACCGTAAAGCCAGATTTGAAGAGTCATTATGCTACTAGGTCTGCAAAGATAACCTGAAAATGTCATTTTAAAATAAAAACGATGTTGAAAAAATGCAATTAATTTTGATTCGTTTGGTTTTGAATACGCCTTTGGCGACATCAGATGTTGTCACTTTTTCGTTCGCATTTTATTTCTATTGTTTTCTGTTTTCTCTTCATCATACCGCAAACCAAACGTTTCGTAGTTAAGTCTTACATAAAACATTCGTTTATCGTAAATAAAGAACACGAAAATAATGATAAAACCACCATAAGGAAATACAATAAAAATACTATGAAATAATCAAAGATGACCGCTAGACAAAATACGAAGCTATACAGAAATACTTCCTGAAATTCTAGAGATTCATCTTTTCTCTGTAAATCAAAATAATCCCGAAATCCTTATCTTTTAATATATATTAGAAATCTTTAAATATATCAATCATATCTTGGAAAACCAATTAAAAAATAGTTAAGGTTAAGGAAACGATTTCTATGGAGACGAGAAACTTCGAGAAAAAAAAAGGATTCTTACTCAAAATCTTTTGTCCTACAAGAACTAAATATTTGTCGAAATTTGCCTTAAAACGATAGCTTAATTTTCAATTAAAGGGTTGCAATAGTTTGGATTAACTTCACTAAATGCTTAAAGTAGCCATCATCCCCATCATCATCTTCCTTATTAAACTACCAGAAGCAGCTTTCTAAACACATAAAAGCACGGTTCCGACTCATGGTACAAAATCTAACTATAAAACTTGGTCAATTATTTAATATTGTTTGCACAAAATGACGAGGAAAATTGCAAACTTTTCAAAACTCTTCACTTTTCGATTTTCCATGATTAATTTTACTACTTCTAAAAGAATGCATCTACCAATGTAGCAAAAATTGAAAGCTGTTGTTAATTTTTAAGGATAAACGTTTTAAGTAATCTCTTTAGTTTTTTTAATAAGCGTCTAAATAAAAGCTTAAAGTTTTTTCAATGTACAGTGGTTAATAAGCAAAAGATTATATTTAGACACGCTGTCATAGCAACTGTCATAATCTTGCCAAAGTACTTCAATAAATGAACTATTTATATCACTTCTTTACAAGTTAAGTCAAGGTCAATCCAGTATCGATTGAATAGCATAATTATAATGAAAAATAGAATACAAAAATTATCTTGGATCAGATATGGAAGCAGAGTATTTAAATGCACTTACCGGTAGTAAATACCATATAAATGCTCTCTGTATCAAATTAGATAAAGGGTAAAGGTCTTTTGTACCCATTAACATGACACTCAGCCTCATATATATGGCTGTCTTTATTAAAACGACTGTGTTCACTAGCTCCAAGTTTGAGCTGTCTTCTTGCAGGCTTGAAGTTCAGGTTAAACCTGCTTTGCTTGCAGTTTCTTGAGGAAAGGTCGTTAATCGATATTGATAAGGATCAATAAATGTTGACATTGATGCCATTCCTCTAGGCAATTTAATGAGCATATATATGCATCTAACATTCAAGAGGGCTTTAAGATCCACAAGTGCTAATCCTTTGGTATAGGGACATTTAGACTATTTGGAGTCCTCTGGATGAGATCCCTTGCTCTTCTCTTGGCAATGACTGCCTCCTGTCTTGCTCGCTCACCTGCAGCACCTGCTTCCAATGCTCGATCCCTAGCTGCAGCAGCCCTCGACAATGACATATGTGACTTCTGCACTGATATATCTCCAGCCTGAATGGCAGCCTCACAGGCAATCTGCAAGCGCTGCTTAAATCGAGTCACAAGGGACTTAATAGAGCTCTGCTTTTTGATACTAGACACAAACACATCATTGGAAAACTCTCCCTCCAATTTTGTATTGTCAGGGTAACTAGCAATGCCCAGTCCATGCCGCATGTTTTCACTCCATTGACCAATATATTTGAAGCCATCAGAAGTTTCTAGTAATCCATATCCATGACGTTTATCGTTTTTCCATTCCCCTTTATACAGCTCTCGTACAAGCTTTACTGGTGCTGGCTTCTGGGGTTCCTCTAAAGTGGCCTCACCATCCACACCTATCTGAATAGATCCACTACTATTCATTGATTCAGACTGACTAGCATTATCACTTTCACTACCAGATTTAGGTGACGGCAGATCAGGGTTATCACTTTTGTTTTTCTTGTCGCCTTTGGATTTTTTATCCTTTAGTGGCAAAATGCCATTAGCAGCTTCGGCACTGTTGTTCGACTGTCTGGAACAAGAACGTGTAATGTTTGTATAGTAATCTTTTGGTTCACGTCTAATACTGCGGATTCCATAACCAGATCTCATTCCTGTTTTCCATTGTCCATAATAATATCCTATGGAAAAAAATAAATTATGTTAATGATTCATTCACTCATTTTAATCGATTTATTCATATTTCCATTCATCCGTTTACTTTATTCAATCATTTCAAATATTCAATCATGTTATTCATTCATTCATTTCATTCATTTCTTTCTTCATTTATTCATCCATCCATCCATCCATCCATCCATCCATCTGTTCATTCATTCATTCCAATCATTAATTTCCGCTGCATTCATCTCATTCACCTTACTCAGTTATTTCCTTAATTCATCTCATTCGGTCATTTCTTTTATTTATCTTTTCCATTCCTTCATTTCTCTGGTCATAAGTTCATCAGTCCGATTTAACAGCCAGTCATCATCTCTGGCCATTGAGAAGCCATTTTATTTAGCCCAAACCCTGTCATGAAGCAAAAACCACTAAAAAAATGTTTTCAACAATTTAACCTCCATCTAAAACAATTATTGTTTGAGATGGACGTTAAATCATTGAAAACAGTTTTAATGGTTTTTGTTGCCAGTTGAACCCAGAAACATGCAATAACTTAATAACTCTATAATGGGAGGCATTTTCTCTAGCTAGTTCTCCAGCTACTTAAAGTATACATAAACAGGCATTTTGGAATGTTTTCATTTGTACTTGTACTAAATACAATGATGAATATTGAGTAAAGACATGCACTTATGGTGCAGTATTCATTGCTTTAGAAAAAGTGATGTGTAACCACACTTGTATTAGGATGACAGTTCTGTCTGAAATTTCCACAGCTGTACAACAGACACAAGTTCCCCAGGGTATTTTTTAAATTTCGAGATATGGAATTTGAAAAAGTAGGCATTAAAGCCATGATGACGTATAACCTCTATAGCTGGATGAACAATGACAGAATTTGTTTTGGAGGGCTATAATTTAAGCTTTCAACTAGAAAAATAACAGAAAAAACAACGAAGTGAAGTGAAAAAAGGTATTGTTTAAATGGCAATTTCTATAAACATTATAAGTCCACCAGTACAACTGGATTTTGGCTTCAGCCAGAAATCATAATAAACAATGTTGAAGTTTTGAGAGATGGGGCTAAAAGCACCAAAATCATGTCACGTTTGCAATTTAAGTGCTGTTATTAAAAAAAAAATTAATAGAAGGTCTTTTCAACATGGCGAAGTGTAGTAAATATCCAAGCATAGCCGGCCTAGATTGGAGAAAATGTTAAACCCTGCTATAGTAATAGAACATACTAGCTCTCTTTAGACCCTTTCAACTTCTTAAAGATTCCTAGGAAATTGCCATGCCCCTTTATGGGAGAGAAAGCTATTTCTGAAACTACATGATCAAAAGCAGACATCAATGCATGTGCACACGCAGTAGTCACACTTGAAAATGGGTTCCTTGACTTATAGACTAGATAAGACTCATTTTGCATGAGGTTTAGCCTTCCTTAAGCAAGCAAATATTATTTGTGAAAGTCAACTGCAATGTAAGGAATGTAAAACTTGAAAAACGATGCTTTTAAAACCTGTTAATTAATAAGAATGGTGACAAAATTGACTAGCCACATGCAAGTGATTGGTAAGAGCCATGTGAATCAATTCATGCTGTTATTTTTATTACTGTGCATGATATATACTCTTACAGCAAGCCACTAATAAAAACATAATGGACAGCTGATCATGATATCAGTGTTTATATTTCAAAATACAAACTATATGAGCAAGAAGTACACTAGCTAGAATCTTTGAGTGAGTAATAAAACATGACTTCAAAACTTTACCTATACCCTGAAACAACCTYTAGGCTGATCAAGTCAGACATGGCTAACTCACAGATCAAACTCTGAAACAACCTCTGGGGTGATCTAAGTCAGGGCATGGCTATCTCAGATCGAAGCCTGAAACATGATAAAAGCTTGATACACAGCACTCATTTTTCCTTAGCTGATTTACATGGTAGAATTCTTCGTCGTGACTGTCGCACGCAACATGTACATGCTGATGACAAGAATTGCTTCGGGTAAATCGACCGCACAACTTGCTTACAACTACTAGTGGTAGCTAAACTTGATGTAAGCATGTTGTATGCGACAGTTCTGAGGAAAAATTATATGGTGTACAGAACAGACCTGTCATTGGATAAAACTTGCTTGTGTATACTATTTCTATAATTGCATCCTCTAATATCAACTGCAACAACAACGATTAAGACATGTCTTCAACCGGCAGACATCTTCGAAAAGCCTTCAAGAAGGGTTGTTTATGTATAATATGACCTACATTGTATATTTTCTAAGACCTTAAGCAATAATATTTGTATTTAGCTAGGACTGTATTGTTAAACCCTAAGATTATTACGAGTTTGGATTTATGAAACAATGTACTAGTGCATGCCTTGAAGACAAAGACATTTGATCCAAAACAGAGAGATTGAGAGAGAACATATACAAATATGTACCTGATGTGTATATATAATCTAAAAAAACCCTTTTTTTTTGAAATCATATAGTGAGAGTACATACTTCAACAGAGAATCATTCAAATATAAAAATTTCAGTAACAAAGAAATGTCTAACTTTGGTGTGAAATATTGACCGAAAGATGGAATTTGTACATGGAATACATAAAAACTCTTAATTGCCCCTCTATTGCTTCATTGATAATATGCTTAGATAAATGGAAGGCATTCTAAACACTGGAAAAATTAAGTCCAAAATTGTGGAGGAAAAGAAAATTGGAACACC